TAAAACCAAAATCCTCTTTTCTAAACTACAGCTACAGAGTAGTGCAATAGTGGTTGACCCTCACATTAATAGCTACATATACTGTACATTGGGGTCAGAACGATACATAACATTTTTAGTCATACACATCCAGTAGCTAAACCCAAGGTGGCTGAAACTTCTCTCATTTAAAATTACTGTGAGTGTTGAGCTACTGATCAAGGCTCTGCTTTACCTTTGCATATAAAGGTACAAAAATGCATTAACTGAATACCTTTGTAAGTGAAAAGAGAAACCAACCCTTCTCATTCAAGATTGAATTTTCTTCTGCCTCATGCTACTGTTGATTGTTGAAAGGTCCAAATGTTACAAAGTGCTGACTGCTCTTACTTCTACCACGGTGATGGGAGGTCTGCACTGCTTAGTGCCTTGGAGGATCAGATCCTAGGTGACAGCATCATTGTGCCAGTCAGAATTTACACCTGCATATACTCAGTTGAAACAGGAGTGCTGAATAACAAAGTGAAACAGCTTCTGCTTTTTTTTTTTTTTTTTAAATAGCAAGTGTTAACAACTTCTGCTCTATCTCAGTCTAGTAACTAATATTAATGTCTGTTACAAAGAACAAGCTAGCACATTTTCTAGAAAAGTATTTGTGGTTATGCTACATTTTTAAAAGTCTGGTATAAATTAAAAATAAAATTAATGAAAAAAGGTATCATGCATGAGCATTGCTTTACAAAACGCCTTTTGTCCAATTTCATCACTCGGTATTTCACATCAATGCAAAGAGACTGAGCAAATCAGGTGGACCAGGGAAGGAGTGTTGGGAAAGAGGAAAAGCAACAACTATTTCCCTTAGTCCAAGTGAATAACAAGCTCCATCCTTTGCTCCTTTTCTTGGTTCAGATAAGCTTTGTTCCTTCCCTTCTATTTGTCCATAGTTATCAAGAAGAAAAATCTCAAATGGGGGCAACTAAGGGAGACTTTTTAAAGTTATGGAGATTCTAAGGTCCATAGACATCTGCCAAGGAATAAAACAAACAAACAAACAAACAAAAAACATCATGGAAGACAACTTGGTTGGCAATACCCTAGCTGCCACTTCCCTGCCAAAAGATCTGCCTTCACAGATACCTTCTTTTCTTGTAGAGGTACAGTGAAGCACATGAAGACCCACTGCTTCTCCACAGAAACATCTGCACAGGCTCTTCAAATGCACCACATAAGTGTGATATATTCCAAGCTAGCTGTACCAAGAAGTAACACATAGCAGTTTGTAATTCATTGGTACGTTGCCAATTTTAAATACTTGTCATTAAATACTTTTTACATTTGGGGGTAGTATTATAGACACTATTTTCCTCCATCTTGCATTTTTCAGAATCTCAAATTGATGGTATTTTGTTACAGCTAAAGCAAATGGCTTCTAAAAGGCTGTATTTCCCACAGTTCTTCATTCCTGTAGAGGAATATAAGTATATTAATTCCCCTGAAATTGACTAAAATCCAGTAAAAATTTTACAATGAGAGAAGTTATGGAAATGAACAGACAGTATATTTGAAAAGGCATTATTAAATATGCTGACACTGTACATGATTTTAGCATCTTCTGAGTGTTATGTGTGAAGTTCTGCCATGTTTTGTTACTTAAGAGATCAGGCACAATGAATTTCTTGGTAGCAAGGACTTAACTGACCAAAACTCAAAATACTGAAAGCTGATGACAAATCTCACTGTTTCTAGCTAATGACAAAGCTTTTGTAAGGGAATCTTCTTTGGAAAAACTGTTAGATTAACTTCATCTACGGACATGTCAAGCATGACTCACACTTTCTATTTATTTAAGGTTTTTTTTTTAAAAAAAAAAAAAGGCTGCATAGTTAAACTGAAATCAAATGTTGATACATGAAGCAGAAAAATCTGTTCTGCTCAATGCAACCAATGTTTTAGGTTTTTTTCATTCAGACAGGATTGTACAACAGGATAATTCTATTCTTCTAGCATTCTTTAAACCTACTTGAAACCAAGCCATTAAAAAAGTTTTGGTAAAATGTAAGATATCCACAAGAGCTGTAGGATAAGCCTCATAGCCAGAAGTAAACAGTAAATATCAAAGTTCAGTATCTTCTAACATCCTAATCCTTTACAGACGGTTAGTGAAGACATGAGACAAGCCTAAAGGAAGATAACTGCAATTCAAATATTAGCATTTACTCCTGGGTTTGAAACACTGTTGCCAGTATTTCCAAGAATGAGAAAGTGGTAGCCCAGCAGATGAGACATATGAATTCACACAGTGGCTTTAACATTCAAGAAGGCAGTTGGAGGCAACCAACCACCCCTCTTCAGTTCCGATTCTCAGAGGTTAACCTTCTCTTTCACAGAGATGCCGTTTCTGATGCTCAGCACCTATAGCACTGAGCTCTTTGGAGGAGGGAGCAATGCTTGTTGCTGAGCCCTGTTACCATACAGGCTATACAGTCACTGCACTACAGCTGTTGCAGAATAATTAACTTTGCTTGCACGAAATTGCTGCCAAACAAACTTGTGCTACCCTTGGTCGAGTCCAGATTCACTCTGTTCAAGTCAAAGGGAGAGCTGCTCTCCACTTCTTGACAAGCAGAGGTTCCAGATTCGGTACGAGTCAACGGTGGTGTACTAAGGGCATCACAGTGACCAACAAATCAGGAAACACTAACCTGACGCCTATATTCACTAACAGGAGCAACTACAAAGTGAATTAAAGTGGGTCTGATGGCACGATCTGTGTGCTGAGGCTACTGGTTTGTGGGGTTGTGAGTTTACGTAATTTACTTAATTTTTGTTTTTAAACCGTGAGCAATTTCTGACACTTTATTCAAACCACACCATTACTTGCAGCTGCTCCAAATGGTTGCAATCATGCATTTAACAAAAGTTTCCAGAGCTGGGTGGGGATTTTTTTCCCCCTCCTTTTTTGCACACAAATAAAAATGCAACCTCAATGCTCCCTATTAGTTTACTCTTACCTCATTATCACAAATTCAAATCCCACTAAAATACAGAGGGATGTACTTGTTTGATCTGTAGTATCTAGCAGGCATGAACAAATAGCAAGGGACCTCGTCTCACTTTCAAATTTAACGTCAAATTTTTAATTAAAATACTGGTAAACTGTAAAATTGATTCAGATTGGAGACAGATTTGGTATGCAGCCATTGGCATATTTTCAACAGCTGTCCAGACACATAATTAATTTTTATGCAGCTTCTTATTTACTTGGAATAAGAAGAGCATGCAGAAGGCCCTTTAACATGATTACTCTGAATCTAAAATTTCCTTCAGTTTTATTAGAAATTATACGTATTTATATCATACAGCATTTCCGGTGTCACTTATATACTAAATCTACTCTATACATATTTTTTTTTCTAGACTTGAGAGTATGTTAGAGAAGTCAAACAGCAAATAGCTTAATGGGAGCAAAACCAAACAAGCTCCACAGAGTAGATCACACAGCAAAAATCAAGACACCGAGCTTTATCAATGATATTAAAGAAGCATGGCCCAGTGCTTGTAATTGCATGAAGGCATCACCATGGCAAGCTTACTTTTTCTCACTGTACCTTTACGTATGAGTAGTAGCTAGAACTGCATTATTAATGAAGAAATATTTTTCTTCATCAAGCTAATGGGGGGGGGGTGAGGGGGGGGTGTCAATGCCCACTTGGGAAGTTGATTATTAATGAATGCAGAATAGAGCTATTCTCTTTGGAATGGAAATTAGATGGACCAAATTAAAGCCTCCCATAGGAGGCATTTGCCCCTTTTATGCATTATTTACATTTTCTATGCTGAAACTTTGTGATATTGTAAAGTTGGAAATACAAAGAAAGTTATGAAAACTTAAGTCTAGATAAACACTGCATTATTACGAGCTGTAGCAAATCCTGTTTGTATAACAGGTTTTTGTATAATGTAATTAATATAAGTTATTATTTTGCTCTCAGAAAAGACCTGGAAAATTGTTTACTGTATAAATAAAAGCACCTGTACACTGCGCATATATTCAGTATTTTATATCACCTTGAAAACGTCTTTGCAAGAAATCTAAATATGCACAAATAAATGTAATGAACTTATTTCAGTCATAAGAAACAGGCTGTGAATATCTCATTTGTGACTGACTTGAACATTTATTATAATGCAAACACCACTAACAGAATCCAAAAAGGTTGAATGTATATCTGTACTAAAAAAATTGAGAAAAAAAAAATTCTATTTAGTATACTCATAACACCAAAGGAATAAGCATATAATCACAGGATTACACAGGACACCACTCAATGGCTAATAATTATAATAATAATAACCATCCCTCAAGCAGAATGGTAAGTTACATCCATGTCTATCTACTCCCTCTCAGTTCACCAACTAAGGAATTCAAAAATCTAAGATAACTTCTAGTTACAAAATTTGGGTAATGAAGCTGACAATTGCTACCCATTAAGGTCCAAATTCTCACCAAATATTTTGATCAAAAGTGCTGTCTAAATATCTGTCTTCAAGCCAGACACTTCCATTGCTTGAATCATTTTCTTTTAGAGAATTTAGAGTGAATCATGGAATGGGTTTACTATGCAAGACTTATTCAGCAAGTGATTTTACTGATCCAGATGAATAGCCATTGAAAGCTTTTGAGATAAGCTGAGCTCTTAAAAAGAAATAAAAATAAAAAACACAAACAAACAAAAAACACACACACACAAAAAAAATCCACACAAAGAAGAACACAGAACTCCTCACCCATAGATCTCCTTGGAGAAAAGCTGTAGGTGCGATTGAAATTCAAGTAGTAATATCTGAGCTTGCCTCAAAGTAACACTGCATTGTAACAGACTGGGGCAGTAAGAAAGTTTTAGCTAGAACATTTTGAGTTTTTAATGGAATTCACTTACCTAGTTTCCCTAAACCAGCAGAATTTTTCAGAGCATGCTGTCTGAGACAGTATGTCACTACTAATGAAAAAAACACATGTATCATTTAGGGTATCTTGTTTTATTTGTGTAAGCAAACTAATCATTTATAAGACATGGCCTGTTATGTATGACCATAAGCTTTTCCTTTTCATTAAGCTCTTAGGCTTAACACAGAAATTTACTTGTCTGGAATTACACATGTGCAGATAAAATAAGTCATGCTTTAAATATAGTAAAAGGCAAAAAAATATTTATTGCTGTGAATTGAGCACTTAAAAAGTGAAGTATTAATTCAAAGTGCATCGTCTTATCAAACAGGAATGTTTAAAACTCTACAATAGTTTCCATTCTCGGCAGTTCCTCCAAACACAAATTTTCCTATGTCGGTGATCCTCTTTTCCTCCAGCAATTCAGCGCTCAAAATGCCATAGTGCGCTGCAAGATCTAGAAGAGGAAGTAATAGGCAAGTCGGTGTTTTGAGATTTTGGAAGTGTGACAAATACAATTACACTACCCATCAGTGAGATTCAAATGGAATGGCCCACTTCCATCCTGACAGATGGAGGGACCCACAAGTTTAAATATTAGAAATAACTTATCTACTGGAAAAAAGCATTCACAAAATTGTATTAAGAGATAGTCAAGGCTGTTTCTGCTTTTGGATTTTTAGCAACAAAACTGACCCTCACTCTCATTTCATAGTGTTACTGAGAGCATGTCCAAAAAACATTTAGTCAGCTGAACAGTTCACATCTTGCTACCTACATTCTACCTATAACTTCCACCGTCTACTGTGGTGATCAAGCAGTAACTTCCCATAGCAATAAAATAGTTACAACACTAACAAGCAGGACTATTCACAGTAATACTCTAAAGTAGAACAGCAGAGCAGTGATCATCAACTAAAGAGCTATGCTTTCAATATTAAGATGCAAATTGAATTATATGTTAATACATATAAATGATTTTTACATATATTTTGATGATTTTGTTACAATTGCATGCATTAAGTTAAACACACCTTCAGGAATGATAACCATACCTTTATCTTAATTTTCCTTTCGAGAAACTGTGAAAGTTTAATGGAACTTCTGATATCTAATGGTCATACTGCTGGTGGTTAACTTAACATGAATGAAGCCATTCTGTAAAATCAAAAATTGTAAAACATGCAAATCAAATAAAACAGTTATACAAATAATACACCTCCATAACCAGTATCTACACCTCATTATAAATGCTCAAACAAAACTAATATTAAAAGTTATCAGTTTAAGGTAATTCAATATATGCTAAACATATGCAAAAACACTATCAAAATTACATCATTTTCTATTGTAAAATTTACACGTGAAGATAATCAGCAAGTTGATTAAAATAATTACACTTTTGTTTTCAGTACTTAATATCCAAAATGTTAGCACTTCCACTTTGAAATAATTAAGTTTACCCATCAGAACTCCCCTTCTTATTCACCTAGTGCAGGAGTGTGAAGGAGAAATAGAAGCACTGAAGTCCAGAGCCTATGCAATTTAAAATATAAAAACAGAAGTCCCTCTAATCTAAAAAAGCAAGTCACTCACTTGTAACTGGAGATCTTCCAATACATTGCTTCTGCAAATCTATGTTCTTGAGAAGGTGCATGTCGCCACCACAGAAGCCAGAACCATCTCGTAATCTGTGGGGCTATACACATGACCTCTATGAATCTTTGTCACCTTTCCTTGGTCTTTTTCCCCATACAGAACTACTGAATTCCCTGACTATTACTCCTTTTAACACGTGACATTGCACTGGTCATATTACCATCTGTCAGTCATATGAATGTGAATGCAGACTCTTGGAACAGAACACCACCTATCACTATTAACAATATATAAAAATACTTACAGTATTTAATACTGCCTTTTCAACAAACACCACGTAACTTTTCAAAGCAAACACATTCCATATATATCTACAAAAAATATGTTTATTCTCACAACATTTATAAGCCCGCCCTCCACTTTAAAAATTGTATGATCTTAAATAGCATAAATGTCAAATTTAGGACCTCATGCCAGAAGAAATACCTTGAAAAACAAGCATCAACTATTCTGGAGATTCCAGTGCCTGGTGATGTTAGCCGGGAAAGTTATATGTCTGCTCTATACTTTCCTAGCCAAGTTCCATATGCAATACAGAACAAAATTAACTGAAATCCTATTCTCAAAAGTTTCACAACTGGCTTTTAAGGTTCTGTTATCTGCGTACAGAATTTTAGCACTAACATGTATAATAAGGTACAGAAAACCTAAAGAAACACTATTTCAACATGGCAGTGAGAATCTGAATGTCAACTACCAATGTATTTTGGTTAATTTTATCTTATTAAACGGCAACATGTGTATCAAGTCTATAGTACTGTAAACTCTACTGTCAACTATAATTACAATTACTGTTGAAAACTGTACATTTTACCTGAAGAAGAATGATTATCACTGGGAACATTATACTAAGGTATTTCTACAGAAGAAAAAAGCATGAAACAAAACTTTAGCAGGGTTGTTTTCATAGCTGATTATTTAGTTATATTGGTTACATAGTTATATTATGTTACCAGGAATAGCACTGAAGTAAGTCAACATGGGGTCAGCAGCAGCAGACTAAGTACCAGCACATGCAGAACATTCAGAACTGGCACCATGAGGCATATTTGGTACAGCTGCAGGCATCGGTTGTCCCACTGTCACTGGCATTCCAGGCATCTATAACTGCAATACTTTGGGAGGGAAAAAAAAAAAATGTCAATATCTTCACCTTGATAGACTGAAATACTTAAGTTTTACAACAAAAATGTACCTTATTCATGATTAAGAAATACCTGTTGCACTATTTCAAAAAAATAAATCAATTTCAGACTCAGTCCTACAACTGGATTGTTAAACGACCTCCATTTAAAGTTTTGGCACTTGGTGACAAAACAGAACAGTACAACTCCAGAAACAGTTTCACATGCCTTTGACTGCATTACCAAGGAAGCTTTCTAAGAAAAAAAAAAAAAAAAAAAAAAAAAGTTACTATTATATTTCTATGGTTTGTTTGACTTTGGGAAATGTAGGGGTAGAGGTGGGTTTGTTTTTAAACAGATACTTTATGGGCATTAGTGATTATGTTTGTAGGACACTGTAGTTATTATTTTAGACATGCTAATAATAGGCACATTTTTTAAATGCAGTTCTGCACATTAAGTTTTAATCATCTAATTTTCCCTGCATATGCTATTGGATCAGTCTTTCCTTTTCAGTGTTAAACTGTTTATTCAGTCACTTATCTATGCCAGGATTTTAAAATACTTTCTTTTTATGCAGATATCACAACAGGTAGCAGGGGGTTCCCTTCTTCAGGCTGGGCCACATACAATTTGAAGTGGCTTTGAATATTTGAGAACTACAATTTTATGAACAGCTTATATTCTACTTTGGTGATATGTGGCCCTTACTTATAACAGCAAAGTAAAGCTTAATTTACCTATATTTAAACATGGGATGTTTTATCCAAGCATTTAAGCGACTAAGAAAAAATAAAATATCATGACACAGTTGAAGTTTTCCACATACAAAAGTGCAAGGCTTGTCACGCCACACAATCAGCTGAGAGGAACATCAGAGTTAGGGCAACCAACAAGAAAGTGACAGGACACAAAACCCAGGGCTTTGTAAAAATAAACACTACACTGAACTAGTTAGATTAGCAAGTCTTTGAGAAAACAGAGGTCTGTTTTTTGTCCCAAGTTGCCAGTGTTACTCCTTAGCACAGCTGCAAATGGCTCTGGAAGATTACATATAAAAAAGTACCTTTGTAATACTGCAGCAGCAGTCTTAGATCTATAGCACTGAAAGAAGCAAAGCCCGACAAGCCATCACTGCCACTGGTATCATTTGTGTCAGTTTTGTAACTAGAATGATTTTCAGCTATAGCACTGCAAGACAACTTCGAAGGAACGCAAGAGATTTTAGGATCCCCAAATACACAGTATCAATATTAAATTTTAACTAACAGTGAGAAAGGAGAAGCACACATAGGTCGTTTGCTTAAGCAGTGTCATGGGAATTAAGCAATAAGCCTCTGTAGTAACTATTTATACTGAGTAGTTAAACAATTTAGAAACATATTTTCATCTCTTATGCAGCAACCAAAAGTACTTAAGCAGCTTTCCTTTCGCTCAAGAACACGTGATGCAAATAGCATCCAATTCTTACACATTTCTCTTTGTGCTGTAGGTTTGTGCGTGCTTTCACATTTTCTAACGACTACAACTAGTGTTTCCAGCTGTACCATCAGCCCGCCCTCGAATGCTATTTTTACAAAAGGTAGCCCAGAGTCCATGATCATTGTCGCCCCGCCACTGGGCACAAGAAACACCAACGACGATGCAACTTTTTTTGCGTAAGGGCAATGACCACCTCCAAACTGTATTTTGGGATCTGGGCGGGGGGTGATCAGGGACCCCGGACTCCTCCTGCGCTGGGTTACCTCAGCAGAGTGCCCGCCCGCCCGGGGCCCGCCGCCCGCCCCCCTCAGACACCTCCGCCTCGACTGCTCGGGCGGGACAGCGACACCGCTCCCTCCCTTGCCCCGCCAGCGCGCTCCCCGCCAGCCGCCCCCGAGCTGGCACGGAGGGCCGAGACGGGCCCTTCCCGGGGGCCGCGCGGGCCCGGCCTCACCGAGAAGCGCACCGGGAGCGCGGGCCCGGCCTCACCCGAGGGCAAAGGCGCTGAAGGTTGGAGGCGGGGCGGGCCGCGGCGGCGCCGGCTATGGCGGCGGCCCAGCGAGCCCAGCGCGGCCGTCGGGGGCGGGCGCGGGCGCTGCCGTTGCCTCAGGCCCCGCTCCGGCGGCCGGCGGCCTCCTCCTGGTACGAGCAGCCCCTAAGCATAGCGCCGGTGGTGTTTGTGCGAGCGCGCTGCCGGCCGGCCGCCTGAGCCGCCCGCCGTGAGGGAAAAGGAGGCGGTGGCTCCGTGGCGGGGTTGGGACTGTCTCCGCGCAGCCGCCCCGCCGGGCCGTGCCTGCGGGAGGCCTCGTGCTCCTCCCCCGCCGGGCCAGAGCTCCTGCTTGTGAACCCCCTCACTACCTTCCGTCTCGTCTGAAAGCGACGAAGGCCTCAAAAATGACTGAGTTTATGAGGAGCGCGAGCATTCAGCTAGAGGAGAGCAAAAGAGTTCAGGATATGTGCATCATTGGACAGAGTTGGAGCTCAGCCATCGTGTCTACAATCTACAGTAGCTGGAGTAACCAAGTAGCATTGATTTTTTTTTTTTTTTTTTCCCCTCTATGACTCACAAGTGTCTTTTTAATGTCTGCAAACTCTTAGAACCAGTAAATGATTGTTATGGAATAAATAACACTGGGCCTGATTTACCACTGCTATATATATAAACCTCAGGAAACAAACCAAACATACAAACAACATATATACACACACTGCATCTGTGTAGTTCCTGCAGGCTCCTGAGGCTTTACACGAAAGACTGATGTGTCATCCAAATAAGGTGCTGAAGACAGCAGAAAAAGTAGTGGGAGGGAAAAAAAAAAAAAAAAAAAAAAAAAGAGACTTTCTTCAGAAGTCTTTCAAAGGGAGAAATAAGAGTGAAACCAGAGATAAGCACGACAATGAAATGAAAGTAAAACAAAATAAATTCTTCTACAAAAGAAGCTTCTGTCTGAAGGAAGCTCCACTGAGAGCAGAAAGCTGTAGCACATCTCAGCATGGCAAGCAGCTGGGGGCACAATTTGAATTACAGGCAATTTTAGGCTGGGAAAGAACCTCTGGAGGTACCTGGCTTCCTTCTGAAAGCAAGGCATTAAATCAAGGGCCCTGTCAAGCCATGTCTTAAATATTTCTGTCAAGGAAACTCTCACTGCTTCTCTGAGCAATATATTCCAGTGTCTAATTGTTTTTACAGTGGAGAATATTTTTTCTTCTACCTGGACAGAATTTCCTCTGACAAAATGTGTTCCAATTGTTCCTTGTCCTGTGCAACCCTATGAAGAAGGATCCAACATTTAGGAGTTGGAAAACTAGTTGGATCTCCCCTGAGCTGCCTTTTCTCTAGGGTGAACAAACCCAGCTTCTTCAAATATGTGCTGAGCTCTCCAGACCTGTAAGCATCGTGTTGGTCCTCCACTGGACACATTCCAATTTTTCACCCTCTCTCTCTTGAACTCTCCAGAACCAAAACTGAACACAGTAATCCAGGTGCTATTTACTCTATCATTTTGCTACAAAACATAAAATGGAGTCAGGGATCTTTCGCCTTACCTCAGAATCACTCTAAGCTTCCCTAAAACCCCACGATGGAAACCAAGCCTGCTTCTGGCGCTCAGGGACATCTACCATACGGGTGAAACCACATCTCTGTTCCAACAATCTCAGACTACCCAACAGAGTTCTCTAGGAAGTTAATCACACGCATCCCACCCTTCTGCTCCGTATGCACGCCCGGCCGGTGCCGCCGGTCCCCGGCAGGCCCCTGCCGCCACACACTGAACTCGCAAACGAAACCGAAAGCGGCGCGGGGGCTGGGATAAAGCGGGGCAGCCCGGCCGGCAGCCTGGGGAGGCGCGGAGAGGGACGGCGACGCGCTCCTCGCTGACGCCCACCCGGACCTGAGCCGACCCCCGCCTCCGGGGACACCCCCGGTCCCCCCGCGGGCACCCACCCCGCCCCGCTCCGTGCCCACCGCCGTCCCGCAGCGGCCGCAGAGGCGGCCCGGAGCCCCGGGCGCAGCCAGCGCGGCCATGGCAAAGGAGTCCCGAGACGAGCGCTTCCTCTACATGATCTCCTGCTTCAGGCCGCGGCTGAAACAGTTCATCCGGGTGCAGCCGGTGCTGGACCAGCTCCCCTCGCTGAGCGCGGAGGAGAGGGAGAAGGTGCGGGCGGCCGCCCTGCAGCGGGGCGAGGTGGAGGGGGCGGAGGAGCTGCTGCGGGCCGTGGAGCGGGGGCCCCGCGGGTGCGGCTGGTTCCACGAGTTCCTGCAGGCGCTGGAGCAGGGCGGCTGCAGCCTGGCCGCCTGCTACGTGAACCCCAGCCTCAGCCAGCTGCCCTCGCCGGCCGAGGAGGCCGACCACGACCTCTGCGTGCACTTGGTGCAGCTGCTCCACAGCACACTGGTGGAGAGAATGCAGACCATGCAGGTGGCCGAGAAGTGCCTACAGATGGGCATCTTCCAGGAGGAGGACCTGGACCGGGTAAGTGGCCCGCCTGCCAGGCCGGGCACCAGGCCGTGCCACAGACACTGGCCACTCCCAGCAGCTGTGGGGCAGATAGGAAGATACAACTAGAAATGGCCTTGTAAGTGCAAAAAGTGAAAGGGGAGTACCCCAAGTCGGGGGAAAGAGAAATGGTGCTCCAAGTAAACCAGTGAAGACTGCTGGCAGTGGACCAGCAGGTGGGATAGCAGCTAAGAACAAGCGAAATAAAAATGCCGTGAACAGAGGGTTAGACTAAGCCAGTGTCTAAGTGGAAGGAATATGGCCAGCTTTACTGTTACTTATCATTTTGCCACAGACCTTCGGCTCAGAACATTATTAAGTGTCTTCAGGCCTCTGAATCATACCAGAAAGTAGTGATGGCCTGTAAAGTCCTAGAGAATACTTGAGTTACAGTAAAGCAAGACCTTCCCTTACTTTTTTTGCCATAGGCTCACTGGGGAGTATCATACTAAAGAGCGAAGGTGATCAGAAATAGCAAGTGTTAACCCTTGATGAAAACATTTACATGTTTACTCCATTTGGCTAAGAATGACTTGCCTGGAGTGGTGTGAAACTTATTTGGAACCCCAAAAAATGGATACCCTGAAACAATGTTCGAAGAAGAAATTAAAATAATACTTGCCATAGCAAAAAAGGGAAAACTGGCAAACTAAGGGTGCAACTACATATTGGCACTCTGAGCTTTTGCACTACCACTTTTTAGGTGGTTTAATGCTCCATCTCAGTTAAATGGCAGTCGTATATGTAATTTTGTCTAGTGACTGTCCTGGTAGCAGTAAGGGCCAGCTGCACCCCAATGGGTGGGGAGCTGAGCGTGGTAACACAGCAGGCAGAGGCAGGGACCTTTTAGGTTATGAGCTCCATTCCCTGGTAATGGGTCCATGTCTTCCTCCGGGTCATCTTCTTGCCGATGATGTTTCCATTAAGCCCTTCATTAACCTTCACAATTCTGCTGGTTTCAATTCCAGCGGCACCTAGGCTTTCTTAATGCACTTCTATATCCCTTTTTGTACACCTCTCCCTAATCCCACTTCCCATGCACTTCCTTTTAGTGTTCAATCTCAGTCAGGGGTTCCCACTGCTATGCCTGCCCATTTTCTTGCGTATCAGAATGGGCAATTCTTGAGCCTCAAGAAAATTGCCTTTGAGGACTGAACACCTGTCTTGTGCTGCTTTGCTTTTGGGGTGGTCATTTTTTTCCTCATGTGATCACATGTCAAATTTGCTCATGACAGCCTTGCAGCACTTCTTTGAGGTCAAGAGCCACTTTCTAGAGGCTTAGCTATTGTATCGTTAAGTGAGAATTGAGACTATGAAGCCAGAGTTTAACAAGGGAAATGTTCCATTTTATGTATGAGGTCATGTTACAAGTTAAGTCTGAGCTCTGGTAAGTTCTCTTCAATCATTTATCTTCAATCAGGGTTGACTATTCCCTAAACCAGTGTGAACACCTGTTGTTATTCCACATCAATAATTACTATATAGTGGTTACTACCATAACTATTGTCCAGTACTACCAGTTTCTCCAATTAAATTTCAGGTCTCAAGTTTTATATGTCCTACCCAAAACCATATGGGATAAACATGAGTTTGGACAAAACTGCAGTAAGTCTCTTATGATGAGTGGCAGGCCCACTTTATATCTTTATTTTTAAGTACGTTTTAATGATGTCAGGGAAATGCTTTTGTATCTATACTATTCCTACTAAATTCACTGAACCATTTCCAAAGTCTGTCTCAGGACTGGTTTTTTGTTTTTTTTAATTTTCACCAGATCCACACTGTTACTGACAATCGTGGGAACAGAGATGGTGCAAGGGAGCTACTGAGCAGAATAGTGCAGAAGAAAGATTGGTTCTCTCCTTTTTTGATTGCTCTGCGTGAAACCAAACATGGAGACCTTGCAGATGATTTAAGCGGAAATACGGGAGGTAATAATCTTATTTCACTAGTACTAGTGTTTGGGGTTCTAATACCTCTTTTTTTGTGCTGTTACTTAGGAAACAATGCAGGGTTGTCACTATATTGATTTTGCTGTGACACTGAGACTAATGCTTTCACTTGTCTGGGGATTTCAAAATCAAGTTATTTTAACAGCTTATTCAATACATTCTTAAATACTAAAAATCCTTATTAAGCAGTATCAGAATTACAATAATATGTATGTAATTGTAATTAAATAGAATTCTTACCTTTTATAACCAATTGATTTTCAATGTGATGTTTTTATAATCATTCATAAAAAATATGCTGAATATTAATTTGAACAAACAAACCTTTTCTGGACTTCTCTTTCAACACAAGGATTAGTGTTTCCTTTATAGAATGGTTTACAAATATATGTGGCATTTTAAAGTAGACTGCAGTGGGTCTCCTTGGGGATAAGACATTCGTAAGTCTAAAGAAATTGTGTAAAATTTACTATAAAAGATAGAATAAAGCAGT